TTCCTTCAGTATTCTTTCCATTTTACGAGGTTTTGTCGATGAAAATAAGATATAGCACGAATCTTCAAAACGGGGTCAATCAAAACACTACTAGGTTCGCAGATGCGTGAAAACCCGCGGTCAATGTTTACGGATAAAATTCACTGCCTTTCTTTCACCCTGTGGATCTGTTTCTTTGTTGGGAAATGGATGCATGGGTATTCCTTCAGGCTGTTCAGAATTCGTGCAATAATCTAAGTTAGAACTGCCAGAAACACGGCCTTCGTCTCCGCGTTTGTTGGTTTTACTATAATTTTAATACGCCATGATAAAATCGTGTTCATCTTATGACGTCACATGGCATCAACATGGCCGATCAAAAGTTCGCACAGGAAGTGCCAAAAATGGCCACTTTGCAAGGCTATAAAATCGGTTTGAATTGACCAATTTCAATTCTGTTTGTGGTAAACAGGTCAGGAAGGAAAGCACTTTTAATTAAGCTAAAAAAACGAGGGTCGAAAAATTCGCTGCAGTAGCACTTTAAGCCGGAAAACTTCCCTTGGTCCATGTTGTGAAGCAGGAAGTCAGTTAGCTTTATTAATAGTGATTGGCATGAGTGGTTTTTGCGGAATCCTGATTGATTGTTGGAGATTAGCTGGTTAACTGTTAAATAAGAATATAATTTCTCACTGACATGTCTTTCAAGTACTTTTGATAAAAGAGGTAGAACTGAGATGGGACGATAACAGGATCTGTCCGTAAGATTTCCACCTTTAAATATGGGCGTGACCCTGGCACGTTTCCAACGTAATGGCACTGAAGACATTGAAATACTTAAGTTAATTATTCTTGTAATATGGGGTGCTATAACTGGAGCAGCACAACCAAGAATTTTGGCTCCCAGATAATCAAGACCGACAGCTGCATTCGTCTCAAATTTAAGCAGTTGGCTCTTCACAAAGTCTACGTCAACCGTTGGAATACTGAACTTAGTGTCACTTAAACATTTGGACTCGATAAATTTCTTTAGTTTATGAAAGCTTGTTTTAGGTATAGGTGTTTTAACCATAAATTCAGATGTAATATTAGCAAAATACCTACAGAAAGATTCAGCTATCCCATGTGAGTCCTTGATCTCGACACCATCCTCTTTTACTGATCTTGGAGAGGAGGACTTTAGGTATAGCCTATTGTTGACAAGCATAACTGGAGTCGTGTTTTTGGCTATTCAAGGCAATTGACATGGGCACACCCTGGAAATTTAGAAACACGCCCAAACTATAAAATGCTAGCTAAGACCCTGCGAACACGACGACGCGGTCTCAATTTCAGCTCGAGACCTGGCTAAGAAACTTGATTACTGTAATAAATTGAAGCTTTTTAAATAACTTTACACACGGCTAAGTTCGGGAGAAACAGTCCGGTGTCTGCTATGAGGCAGATTTGATGAAACTCCTTCAACGTCGCAACAACCATTCACGTCGCTCCATTGACGTGAAAATCTTAGTTTAACGTTGTATTCAGGATGACAACGTTGTTGACGATACCCCTGGGACCACACATTATTCAAACTTTTTGTTTTGCATGAAAAATCGCTTTGCTTCGAAGGCGGGTCTTTCAGTTCGCGTCTTGTTTTCTAAGTCAGTCTATTCACACGTCGAACAAAAATAGTGTATACCATACTATGTATAACACTGTATGACACTGTATGATTTCATTTGTGGTTAATTTTTTTAATGTTTAATTTTTGGGTTTGTTGCAGGACTTCAGCAATGTCACTACTCTACGAGTGTGTGAATACTATGATTGCAGGTAGATTTCCAAGTTAAACTACAATATCCCTGTACTGTACTTGTCAACTGGTTGGATGTAAACATGCTGTGCCATTTCAACCCGATGTTTCCTTTTCTGAACATGATTTAGCGAATTTACTGCATGAACACGCCAACTTAATATGTTGTAGGTGTGGGAGTTCTATAATGTAGATCTTTGTTCTTGTTCCGTTTAACGTTTTATAAAATATAATCTTCATTTTTAGGTGTTCCTAACCACACACCATCAATGCAGGTATGCCATGTGCTGTATTAACGGATTGTCTAAGGATCTTAGTTAACTTTTTAACGATACATGTATGTCTTTGGACAATAGGGATCTACTTGGTTGTCTAGCATATTTAATACATTGGTCCTACAGTAGATCTCATAGTTGGATTTGAGTGGGTTTTTTTTTTGGGGGGGGGGGGAGGTGCGCAGCCGTTTAGGCCTTACTGTAACTTTAGCACACTCTCCCCATGAATATTAAAATTTCGTGACATAATTTGCGGTGTCGGTGGGCTGACGCAACCCCCCTCTGCCCTGAAAAAATACTCTCTCTGTCAGGGGTAAAGTCTAGGTCCGCATCTGGTCAGTTTGCTGACTAAATATTGCACTGTATGCTTTCTTTTTGCGCCTAAACTCCGGAACAAGAATCGGCCCCATTCGCTCCAGCCGTCAGTGCGTTTTCATGCTAAGTTTAAAGTATTTTAACATTTTCCTGTTTCTGTTTTCACAGTTATGTGTCCAAAAATTGAGAATTTTTATTGAAGACTGCGACCAAAACTGTAAGTAGTGTATATATTGCCAACACGATCTTTTCGTCTTTTTGGAGTTTTCACAGTAGTTCAGTAGTGACTATAGTGTGTTGCTTTTCCCTCACTTGAAACTTCATGTAAGCATCTGCGGAGGAGAGGGGTGTGTTGTATGTATTCCAGATTCGAGATGCGTTGCAAATATTACTTTAGTTGATGCGCGAATCCTCATATACCTGAATGAAATGTTATAAAGTCTTGTGACTGTTGCCTAACAATTGTTTTGTTTCAGTGAAATATCTCGGATTATTGGCAATGTCAAAAATTCTGAAAGTGCACCCGAAAGCAGTAATGCCGTTAAAGTAAGTAGAAGCTATGAAATTAGTTTTGTTTTTGGTAATCTTGAATCTATTGTGGTAATTTGTCATGCTTTATTGGAAGTACCTGCTTGAAAAAGATTAAAACTATTTCAAGCAAAAGTTCTTCGTCAGGAGGATATTCCACGAACCTCGTGGGAAAGGCCGTCCCTCGATACATTTTAGTGTTTTTAATCTCAAATAACGGACAGACCTAAGGGAGGTGTTTTTGTGGAGGCGAGCCAGCCCGGGTACTCGCGCTAGCTTTGCCGAGCTGATTTCATCCAGTTTTTACATGAGATTTTTGAGACGGACTGGCTCGCGAAAACAAACCACTGGTCTCGCCGCTATAAAGTATATGAATATATTTCTCACGAACCTGAAATACACACTTTCGCGAGCGACTTTCACGTTTATAACCAAACAGGATCGAATTTGAGCCTTATTTTGTTACTATACTAAGTCAAAGTTAAAACAGAAAGGCGCGAAAAGTCTTGACTGGGCCCAGGATGCCATGAAATGAATGCTCAGCGACTTGGCCATTTTTCTGTGCATTTCCGGTCGTGTCCAGGTAATTTCAACGCTCACTACTAGACCACAATGCTTCTTGCACAGGTCCCTATGTTTAATATTTCTGTATCTCAATACTCTGAGTCATAAATGAGACTCATATTAATGCGGTAATTTTCTGTTCATTTTTAGAGATATTATTTTGCATTGTCTCGATGATAAAGACGAGTTTATTCGCAGAAGGGCGCTCGATCTGATCGTAGGAATGGTGAGTTTGGAGTGAAGTTGTTTTTTATATCGTTATGCCAATAATCTACCACTTTTGTTTGGTACATTATTGAAAATAATCTATTCTTTGTGTCAAAACTTTGTTTATTTCGTAGTAAGCAATATTACATAACAGATAATACATAACGCAATAACACACAACTGAACAATGCATCTGATGGATTCTTGGTTTATAAATAAAAAAACCCAAACAACAGTGTACGCTAGGTTTGTTTGCTGATCTTCAATTCGGGAGTTTTGAGTCACGCGATTTATGTCACAAGAGACATTAACCTGTTAACATAAAGGAATAGTGGATTTTCGGACGGAATAATACATGTACCGTACATTTTAAAATCTGATATTCTCATGGCGTAGAATTCGCGGTCATAAACGTTGTAGAATTTCACTGGAATACTTACGGCGAAAAGGCTTTTTTTGGCTGAAGAAAGTACCACCTGAAAGTTGTACTGTACCTGAAATAGAAATATGAGGCTTACCTAAAATTATCAAAAAGTGATTGGCTCCTGCGGTTTTTCAGGTTGCAAAAGCGCGACTGTTTTATTCCTTTGTAGCAGCGAACGCACGTCAAAGACCCCAAAATATCGACTGTTTGAGGCAACAACGCTGATTTCACGAAGGGCACCACTCGGAACATGTAGGGTTTTAGGTAACCTTAAAGACATAAAAATCGTGGATGGTTTGCGTTGAGGAAAGATGTGGTTATTTAAATACTGCATGTATTTAAATAAACACTAAACTTATTATTGCGAAAATATAACGCGAAATTTTCTTTCCCTGTCTTTTCGCCATTGCTCAAGTAACTTGCCGGTATGAACCGAAGACACACGGAGGGTGCAGCGAACGCGCGCGCCAATCATATCAAAGGACAAGGGAAGAACAAATTAATTTCCCCCCCCCCCCATTTGTTGACCGTTCTACATTACGAATTCTACGCCATGGGTTGTATAACGAATTCTACGCCATGGGTTGTAGTTTTATTATATATAACCCTCTAGTTGAAAGCGGAAATAACCTCGTTATCGTGCAACGACATCCAGTTAACCCAATCAGAACACGCTTGACATGTGACAAGTTTTAAACTGGACCAATCATAGAACTTTTCTGTGTAATTATTCAATCAGGAGACTGAATCAAAATCTGACCCTTGTTTAAACCGACTTGCGCGGTGGGATCAATCAATTGACGCTTCCAACTAGAGGTTTATTTTCCCTTCGCCATTTCTAATATTATATGCAATGAAAATAAACCTCGTACCAAAATTCGCGTTCTAAATTCATCCCTGGTCTAATCAATCTCGTTCCCCGACCCTGCGATCCTCGGGAAGGAACGCGAGGCTCTGGGATAATCTGTTTCAGGGAGGAATCTGATTGGCCATTGAAATGGAACGCGTAGTTCAATCTTAGCCAGGATTCTTGGCTTCCGATAACGGACTATCCCAGAGCCTTCGATTCCTTCCCGAGGATCGCAGGCTCGGGGAACGAGATTGTGGTCTAATGTAAATGGCTTGATGTCGTTTTAGGTCACGAAAAAGAATTTAACGGATATTGTTAAGAAATTGATTCATCAAACGGAAAAATGCGACAGTTCTGGTACGTTCGTTATACAATATCATGTTAGTGTGATTTTCAGCTGAAATAGTGTGTGTACTGTATCATACTGTAAATAGAATTTTCTCCAGTGCTTGATAAATAATATCTACACGCACCCCTCGATAATTTCTGAAAGCCTTTGAATGGTAGCAGGATAACTGTATGAAAAGCTGTAACAATAATTTTACAATAATAGTTTTGTTTGTGGAAACACCACGTAAATTTATTACTGCAAAGCCTTCGATCCGTAAGCCCGGATCTTCATCAGTGCTAATAATATGACATATTATTAGCACTGATATAAGATCCGGGCTTACGGATCGAAAGCTTTGCAGTAATACATTTACGTGATGTTTCCACAAACAAAACTATTATATTTTATCGCCATGCAAACATACAAAGAACTTAATAATTTTACAATCTTGAAAGCATTGATAGGCTATAACAAATTTGCATAAAATTTAAGGTAAAAAGGTGTAATGACTTGTTTACATTATCAGAGTTTCTGTGATCACAGTAGGAATCTTGTTTATAGGTAAATTCTAAGTTTTGAACGATTTCTAAGAAATGTTTGAGGGAACTGACTCGGTGTTTAACACTGAGTCAATACTATGCAAAATTCCTACTGCGCATGATCACAGAAACTCTGTAAACCAACACCGCGGAAAAACGTCTGCGCATGCGTCAACCTTACCTGTAATAGTATTGCGAACTTGATGAGAAGCTGTTCCGAACGTTTCCGAAGGCTCAAAATGGCGGTAAAAAGGAGTGACTTCATTGTGCGTCTTTACAGCCAGATTTCAAGCGCAAAAATAAACATGTCATTCTAAAAACTAGAAATAAATACAGCCAGAAGGTTCAAGAAATTGTATTGTACAAGAACATGAACTAAAGGTGATTGTTGACAAATTTATCGTCTGAAACATTTTGTTTATCAACTAAGCAATGACAATTTCCGAATTTTCGTTTGAGATACATTTCTTTAAAAAAAACGGTGTCGCCAAATATAAAAAAATTGCGTGTTCACAATAATTAAACTTTAGGATTTATTCTACAATTTGAGTGGGTTAAGAAGCTTAACTTTTCGAGAGTTTTCTTAACTTTTTAGTTTGAATTTTTGTTTTGAATAATTTTGCAAAAATTTTCGAAGTCGTGTCCGTTAAAATCAACAATTTTTTACATGAATTATATTTCATTCCATACTTTAAATGCCAGGACGCTTTCAATTAATGTCTAGTATACCCATTTGCTATATTTTCTCGTTTGTTTTACTAATTTTTGACCAATTAATAAGCATGTTTTTGTTTTAGAAATTGATATTCAAATTCCCCGCCATATTTTCATAATTTGGTGCATGCGCAGACGTTTTTCCGCGGTGTTCTGTAAACCAGCCTTAAATACGCAAGATTTGCGGAAACAAAATAGTGTTAATATGTTGATAACCTGAATTACTAACCACCCCCCCCCCCCCGCCCCCAAGTGTCTGCCACTGCTTTACACATGGGTTAATTCTGTATCGTAATTTTGTACCATACTTGTTTTTGTCAGGGTATCGCGATGAACTTATATCAAAGATAATTATGATTTGCTGTCAGTCCGACTATCAGTATATCACAAACTTCGAGTGGTAAGTGCTGTGAAATTATTCTCCCTTCCACACCCATTCATCATACCCTCTGAAATACAATACAATTTTTTCTCAACTTATTCTATGGAAGATACCTCAACCCCTTCAGGAAGTGCATCTTCACAATTTAGTCCCTATAGGGAAAAAGCGAATTTCTATACCTCCATGCTCTTGTTTCAAGTAAAACGATTGACGATAATCGAACGAATTGTCGCTGAATGCACCAGAACGTTTGTAGTCGCCATTGCCTGCACGAAGAAGGTTAACAGAAGGGTGCGCAGGGCTCGAAATAACAGCCGATCAACGATCAATGATCGGCAGGAAATTGTTTTTGATCGGCGAAGAAGCAAGGTTGCCGTTCATCTTGATCGGCAGAAATAGATTTGGCCAATGACAAATATAAGTAACATAAAACACATTCAAAAACACGCGAAAAGCTCTTGTTTAGTTGATACGAGTCATACGACAGGAAAGGCCGCAAGACTATATTCTCGCTCTAAAGTAATTTACTATAAAAACAAATTTGCATGAAATACTGTCGTCTCTTCAACAGTTTGCAATCCGGACCGCTGACGACGAACGTTTTTGTTATAATAATTTCAATTTGATAGGATTTTTTGAGTAGGATTTTTTCTTTTTAGTACGATTTTCTCTTTTAATACTATTAAATAATAAGTTTTAGTTCTTAGTTGATAATGCTGCTGTGTTCCTTGCTTTTACGTGAAATGCAATAACTATAATTAAAACTTGAAAAGTGCTTTAATAAACTAAAGTTTATTAAAAGTTTATTAAATGTAGTTACACTATTAGAATTATAATAAGTCCAAAAATGTCGTAGATTTAAACTTGAATTTGAAATAAAGTTAATTACTATCATATTTAGAATTTTTTTCAAGGAAACTTAGTCTTAGACAAATATACTCCTGATCGGCCAAATTTTTATTTGATCGGAAAAAGGTCGTGATTGCCGATTACCATGATCGGGAACGTTGAGAACGTTATTTCGAGCCCTGGGTGCGAGTATTAAATGTAATGGCCGATAAATGAGCACATTTTGGTGAACAATATTTAATAGTTATTGGATAAGGTTGAGCACGTGATATCGAAAATTATCAAGCCCGAGGTAGTGTTATCAGATAACACAAATGGAGGACTTGATAATTCTTGATATCAGTAAAATGTTCTTAGGATTTCGACAATGGCCTCCTTTTCTTGAGATTCGGTTATCTTTTACTTTATGAGATACCCGTTGAGAACTCTGAATGCTGGCTTTGTAGCTCGCTTAGCGTTTCTTCTTCGTCAATAGTTTTTGTAAATTATTTTCCGTTACCGTGGCGAATTTCGTTATGTCTTTATTTTAGCTTCGAATAAAAAAAATGGCATGGCGATTATTCTCTGTAGAACTGACGTATATATCTACACGTATGTACATGTAGAAAACTGTTGTCTGCAAGTGTGATGTAATAACTGCGCGATATCAAGAATTATCTGTAGACTACCAGCCAATCAAAATAGAGATTGTGTAAGTAATGCGTACTGATTATCTTTACAGGTACATTGACGTTTTAATCCAGTTGACAAAGGTGGAAGGAACAAGACATGGTAAACTTATTGCTGCTCAAATGTTGGACGTTCCTATCCGTGTAAAAGCTGTGAGATCGTACGCTGTACAATGTCTGGTGAGTCAACAACAATGAGATACATAATTTATAAGCCGGAGGTTTACGGTATACCATTTCGATAATTACGTCACAACCTCTCCTTTTCCCAGGAGCCTCATTCTCATGAATATGAACCAATCGCCTTTCGTCTTGATTAAAATGAGATTGCGAGGCTCCCAGGCCAAGGAAGTATTCGTGATGTAATTATGGAAAGAATTTCAACCCTTTTAATATACAGTTCAGTATGATGCACGTGCTGTTACATTATGGAATATTCTTTTATTCTGCTCTACCTAGTTTTTTCTCCAATGCATCTTCATTTAAAAGACTCGTAAAGACAATGTACACTTACATGTAACATACTAAATACGATTTTTGACCAAAACATGATTTGTACTTGGTCAATAAACCTTGGTTGTGATAAAGTTTATTAGATATTAGTATAGATATTATTTCATTGCATTAATAGTTATTTAGTTTATTAATTAGAAAATTTATAAAATAGAATGTCAATGTAATCATAAGGGGCACCTTGCAAGGGTCTAACTGTCCTGTTCGTGCCTTGTCCCTTTGAGTTACTCATGCACTATAAATTTGAAATACTTATGCAATTATTGTAATGTGCTATATGCGTTGTAAATCAGTAATGTGGTATAATTCCATGATTATTGATTGGTATTCACGAGTACTGCTGCATATATTGCTTACATCTCAGCTTAGCAGTCGACTAAACTTTTTTCTTCTTCTAGTCTTTCCTGTTAGACAGCGCAGATCTGTTAAGTGGTTCGATACAAAAACATGGCATGTGTGAAGTTCTCTTTGCTGCGGCCTGGATTTGTGGAGAATTTGCTAAGTAAGTTCAACATTAAGATAAAATGTTTATAGTGATAAAAAAAACACATTAAGATGGAATAATTACAGCCAACTCGAATTCTATATTACATGCGTCCTTTAACAAGCACATTAAGAATATTACATTATTTACTAAAGACACTAATCGTAGGGTGGCTGCCAGAGGCGCCCTTAGAAAGCCTTCTACTTGTACAGGGGTTTCAGAAATTATTGGGGGATGGGGGAGGGCCAGTTCCCCCTAGTGTCCACAACTGTGTTTAGTACAATATTTCTGTGGATGTGAAGCCCCTTGGTAAGCAGTATGCTTTTAGATTATAATTATCAATTAATACATTGATATACATAATGCCAAAGAACAGCATATTTTACATGGTCAACTTGCAAAATCTTATCTCTGTTCTTGTAGTTTCCTTCCTGACCAGAAAGCTGTGTTGATGTTTATGCTGAAGTCAAGAGTTGCTTCTCTACCTGGACATATTCAAAGTGTTTATGTTCAAAACATTCTCAAACTCTATTCATATATTATGGCTAAAGCAGAAGATGAGGTATAAGCTGGCCCTATTTAAACAGTGATTATAAAGTTTCTGGCCCAGTTTGTATGAGACATGAGACGAAGTTTTGTTCAGAAAAAAAATGCTCATACCTGTCGCCCATTTTCAACAGGCAATCCACATTCATAGGAAAGGGTCCTAAGTAAAAAGCAGTAATTTATTAATGGCGCTCAATGGTTTAATAACTTACAATGCCCTTGTCTGACTATTGTTATATTTCATGATTTAATCACTATTTATATCTATGTGCTAGAGTATGATGTGTTTGTATACTGCTGTCGTTTTGCATCTCAGAGTGAGCAGTTGTATACCAATGGTACGGGGTGCCAACCAGAGGGGGGAGAGGGAAGTTTTCCCTTGGGCCCCGGCTAGAGTGGCCCCCAAATAGCAATAAACGGTCAAACCTGTCTGGGGGCCCAAAGTCATATTTTGCCCCGGACCCCCAAAATTATTTGGAAGGCCCTGATGGTGCTTGTGTACAGCACTCATCAATGTTGTTTATTAAAAAATTATACTTGTGTTTTACATTATAATTATTATTTTGTCTAGGGAGACATGACAAAAGCTCAAGAACTTGGACAACTTGTGGTAGAGAAGTTACCAATGTTTACCCAAAGCAGTGATTTAGAAGTCCAAGAAAGGGTATGAAATATGTTAATTTCTATGAAAATTTAAAATATGATAACACACTCTGTCAACATGTATGATGACACATTTATCGAGATTTCCGTTTCAAGGCAAGAATTGCCTCGTGTAACATGTGATTAAATTTGTTAAACAAACTTACAGTATGTTGTGTTCTAGGCATGTGTTGGTCTTCAACTGATCAAATATGTTCTGAAACTGCAAGCAAAAGGTACATTTTCCTTTTTATTTTAGTTTAGAAAGGCTAATTAGGTCTTAAGATAATAATTATATTTAACCAGGATACCCACATCATTTACGCATTTTCAGTGGGTCCTGCATCAAAATTACAATTATTTACAATATAAATTGTCAATATTTAAATCGTATAAAAATTATACAAATATATACAACTATGATAAAAGAACAATTAATTTATAATTCATATAAAAATTTAATTCAGTCAGACATGTGACGTGCCTCGAATGGTAAGATATACTGTAATCTACCATACTTCTATTGACTTATGTCTACCAAGGTCCTACTATATGAACATCATTTCACAATGCACTATCTAGCTACGAACAAATCATAACATAATTATTTACTTTTGCTTTGCAACTTTAGGGTGTTTATCGTTCATTCGTAAATTGTTAAACTGTTATTTCAGGTGTTCAATGTTCAGCTGAGGTGTCTTTACTATTTACTGGTGAATTGAATCCAGTCGCAACAAAAGCTCAGAAGAAAGTGCCAGTTCCTGAAGGGTAGGCAACATAAAGCCTTCATTAACAAGTACCAATAACTTTCTGTACCTGGCATAGTACAACTTTATAAACGTCACTCTATAATAAATAGAGTTACCGTTAGTTCACATTCCAGTTATGTTCTACCCTTCCTGGACGAAAAGATCGAAAATAGCAGTTTAACGGCTGCAGTCCAGTACTTGCAGATATAAACTACGTTAAGCAGAGGCCGCGGAAGCATTTCGAAAGTGGAAGGGCATTGGCCAAATGGGGCACTTTTGTATATGACCAAAATCAAACGATTTTATGTCGTTCACGAACAGGACGAAAATGTTTTAAAATATGGAGTCTCTATAACGTCGGAAATGGCCTTTACAGAGTCTTTACTACTGCAAAAAGGGCACATTCTTTCCAGCAAAAGAGGGCGTTCATTCAAGAAATACTTTTTTCGTTCTGTAAATGGGGCACTTTAGCCCAGAGAAAAGGGCACTTTTTCACTTTTAAAAAAAGTGGGGGACACATGCCCCTATTGCCCCCCACCCCCCCGTTCCGCAGCCCCTGACGTTAAGCGTTCCTCTTTTGAGTTCCCAACTTGATTGCAATTTCAGTTCCATATTACCTTTACAATGTTGAGGGAATTTGCAATGTTGCTACAAGCCAATGAAATTTTCCTTAGTTCCTGTTAGAAGTTCTTAACTTCCTGTTCTGTTCTGTGCGTTGTAATTGACTAACAAAAATAGTCCACCAATGACAACGCTCAGAACAGGAAGTCAGGAAATTGAAACAGGAAGTTAGGAAAATTTAAAAGGAAAAGGAAATATTGCAACAGCCGATAGGAACTTTGCAAATTCCCTCAATGATTTGCAAAGAGGTTTTCAAACTTGCAAAGGTAATTAGGAAAATTTCAAATAAGTTAGAAACGCTTGACGTAGTTTACCTGTAAGCGTTCTCCATATTTAGCTACACGCACAGAAAAGTTTAAATCCATTTGAAAGTTTCTTGGGAAATAATTAAATGAATGAAAGGACAGCATGATCTAAAGGTAGTTAGTACTTATATAAAATTTAGAAAGATTTCTACTTTTCCGTGCGAACAGGTACATATGAAAAACGCTGAACTATAGAAAGCTGCCTTAACGCACCAGTGTTTCTTACTGTGTATTTTTTCGTAGACTTGATCTTGATAAATGGATTAATGATCCACCTGAAAGTTCTGACGAGGAAAATGATGATGACGATATTGACAGTATGTTTTTTGAAGCGGAAAAGTAAGAAATTTAATTTTGTTTTTTATGCGTAGTTCCGGCCAGTAAGATGTCGACACTTAAGCTCGTTTTCCACTTCACCATTTCGCTCGCCGCCAGCAACATTTTGATTTACGTCGGACAAAGCTACAGTTCGGTCGGGCATCAATACACTTGGGTCGGACAAACATTAAACCTCAGTTTCACTTAGGTTGGACAGAATGTCCCGTGGTTTCCTCTGTACATCGGACAATTTCAGGAATGGATCGGACAATGTCCGTGACCGACCTATATATTTAAGGCCTGGATTCTAGTTTTCTGCGCATACCTCCTGACCGAGGAACCGCTAAGTACGTATGCGCTGGAGACTAGGTGATTCGAGCTAGCTTGAAATGTGAAATCTTATACGACGACGTATAGGGGAGTCATATAGGGGTGATTCGATAAAAAATATCATGCTCACGTTGTATAAACCTAGCCTTATGAGTGGACAATTGACAGTTGAGGTACAATATTAATTTTGTCATTACAATCTTCTATTTTAAAACATCTTGTTTAGATCGGAAACACCTAGCTATAAAAAACGCGAGCCTGAAATTGATGAGGAAGAGTTGGAAAAGGTTAGAAATCATTTAGATATTAAACTGTAGGTGACTGTCGTCAGGCTCCAGTTCATTGCACATGGAGGTCATGAAACAAAAGAATATCATTAGAATCTCGGTATTTTACCTTCATCTGCGTTTATGTTAAAATATTGTGAGATTGCTTGAAACCCACCTAGGCGTAAAAACACAACCTGTGGTTCCGGTTCCCGACCGACCCTATTATTTTTTCAACGCGATTGACCGTGCGACCCTATTTTCTCTGGGTGGTTGCGGGCTGCTGCCAAAATGGCGTCTGTTGTCACACTAATTATTGAAAAAACCATGAAAAAAATATTCAAAAAAAAATTGTTTCCGACCTACCAACCCTAATTTTTTCGCGATATGAAACCGGAACCACAGGTATTTTTTTTACGCCCTATTATCAGGAAAGCATAAAAAGTTATTGGTGCAGTAAAGTTCCTTCAAATCATCATACGACATTTATACCAGCACTTGTGGTGTCATGGTCATCACGCTTGCCTTTCAAGCTTGGGCACTTGGGTTCAATCCTTGGTCGGACCTCTATACTCAAGGTCTTAAAATAATTGAGAGAAAGAGCTACCTTTACATTGAAATGGTTAGACTTTCCCGTCTCGGACGTTAAATCGTAGGTATTACCTCAAATCCCCCATCAACTGGGCAATAGCCTGTTGGGAAATCCGCTCAGCAATGAATGAGAAACTCAATAAACAAGCAAACATATCAACACATGTCATCCCTTGTAAGCCAATATCGCAAATTTAATGTCAGTACTGCATTTTGATTTGGATATTTTCTGTATTTAGATGAGGGAGAAGAGACTAGAGCAACAATTGCACAATCCACATTATTTGAAAGGGGGCACATCCAGCAAGACGAAGGCAAGTGACGCAAATGATACTCTACCTTTAGATAGCAACAGAAGAAAAACAAGAAGAAACTAGATCCAGTAATATTTCACAGGGGGATTAACTTGAGAGGGGTGCAAGGGACTTGGAAAATGGGGTGCAAGGGGGTTGGCAATTTCCTTGTCAAATACATTTTGGATTTGGAAAGGCAATTACAAAACAAAAATAAGAGATAAAATGATTAATGTAACATGATGTGAAGCAAGACCATAGACTACTGTAGAGTCTTGATGCCGTAGCTCCTCCATCTGATGATTACGCAATTGGTCAACGGTCGTAACCTGGACCATGACGATAGTTCGATTAGCCCTGCTCCTACCAGATCTGGGTGGATCCATCCCTAATATTTCGAATTTATTGCAAATTCGTTTTGATACTGTTGAATTCGTGATGCGACTGTTCTGAAATATTGAATTGAAGATGGGGCTTTTTTCAGACTTTCGTTGGTAGGATGCACCTACCTCAAAAATGTAAGGAGAAATTCTCCATATTTTCAGGTAGTTGCATTCCTACCAACGAAAGTTTGTTCATATTATTGGCACTACCTACACTGGCACAGACAGTTCAAGGCTTTTTTCAGAGTGTGTTTCTTATTATTTTTTTGTCTTTATATATAGAGCTCTCAGTCAATGAAAGTTGATGATATTCCTGTAGCATCTTTGGAAATACCTGTATCTCTTCACATTGAAGGTACAGTGCACACAGAATAATCAAATTCGCAAAAAAGAGACTATTGATACAAACTTTTTGCGCTTACAAAACAAAGGACTGATTGTATTAATTTCAGTGATGATGGTTTCAGTGATCACATTGTTCAGTGATCACAATGACGCCATCTCGCGTAGTCAAACTTTGGCCGAAAGACAGTAAATTCATGCTTCGATTAACGTCCATGAAGGAGGCTTACTCTTCACATGATAACCATAATCGTATAAACTAGCCTAAAGATATACAGCATATTCTGTCGAAATAATGTGAAGGTAATAAAAGAGAAATATTAAGAGAAGAGATGCAGTTCTTTTCAAGTTACGACTAAAACATGGGCATATAATGTATACAAGGCAAAACCATTCCATTACCTGACTTTGTTATACAGAGAAATATTAAGAGAAGAGATGCAATTCTTGCCAAGTGTGACTAAAACATGGGTATATAATGTATACAAGGCAAAACCATTCCATTACCTGACTTTGTTATACAGAGAAATATTAAGAGAAGAGATGCAATTCTTGCCAAGTGTGACTAAAACATGGATATAATATGTGCACGGCAAAACTGCTCCATTACCTGACTTTGTTATATTTTCTTAATTCAGGTTCCAGCGCTGACAGGTCTTCTAGAAAAACCAAGAATAAGAGGAAAAGAGGTAACTTTTTAATAAAGTATTGAAATACATTTTGCCTTCGGAGTTTACTTCTATAATATATGGGCTATGTAATATATACAGCATCAGTGGCCGTGTTATATCAGCTATGCAAACACGAGCCAAGGGCGAGGGATTGTATATCTAATACAACACGGACGTGATTGTTGTATGTAGCTTGTGAAGTGCTATGATCTATAAATTGACATGCGCTTTTAAACAATGATTCCAAAATAAGTTCGTAACTGAGAAAATGAAGGGAAATGTTTTTGTAAAACATGAGAATACTGTATGTGTGGATACAACAACTCATAAAACATCTTTTCTTCTTCATAATTATTAAATGCGTTTTACAAATATGTGTAAGACTCGTATACGGAATCCTTTTATGGACTATGTGGTTCATGGGTTCAATACAGAGTTGTCTTGTACATGATATAGCGAAGGTTACGTCAGATAGGGATGTGCCGGTTACTTGTTTTGCCGGATTACGGATTACTGGATACCGGTCAGGGAAAAAAAATAACCGGATACCCGATAATATCCGACCAAATTTTGCTGGGTATCGGATGTCTATATCTTACAGGATATTGGATACTATTTTCTGGATCCAGCTCATCCCTTACGTCAGATGATCTTTCTGTTAAATGATGAAGATAATTTAAGATTGGTGTGGTTAAGGTCGTATCAGATAGTTTCACTCTACACTCTGAGATCCGTCAATAGATGATCCCAATAGATGATTCCACTCATTCTATCGTGCCTGCGAACAAAATTCAAAATATCTCGTGCATTTTAAAGATGTGTGTTCAGTCGTGACCTATTTAACAAATGTTCCAACTTGCGAACTTGACATGCTCTGATGATCCGTGTGCACCACCTATACCAGGGCGCTTACATAATATATAATATAATATATATTATAAATTATATAACATATATTATATAAGCGCCCTGACCTATACTCTACATTATGAACTTTAGAGAACAACAATTTATAATCATTGCATTTTCATTTTGTTGTAACTTCAATCATGTTTTTCTTTAACAAATAGGCAGGAAAGGGCGGAAGGGAGCTTCTGAATCTGAAGACGAACCCCGTCCTGTTTATGAAGTATTGAAAACGTTTGAAGGCGAAATGCCTGATGTAAGTTATGTTGTATTTTTATGCAATGATTTTCCCATAAATTCGCTATCGCAAACCATCGACAAGTTTAAATATTTAGGATTTGGGGAGAATAGCTTTCTCACTTTCGGTTGCGAAATCGAATCGTTTTCTCAACTCATTATTAGTAGTAATTTCAAATACATACAGTACTAGCCTAATTATAAATACACAATGGCTCAGTGTAAAGAGCAGTATTTACCAGTATGCAAACACTCTTGAAGACGTATACAGTGCAGGTAGCGTTGAACAATATACTGTACTTTACTTGAACAATACTGATAAATACAGCGTAAGCATGCAGAATATACGTTCCGGACGAAAGGCCTTGAAACAGTTTGTAAATGATCCTAGCTGTAATCGTTCAAGTACTACAAATAGTTAACAAATAGAAAGCATTCTAGGGCTGCGGTTGTTCAAAGCATGATTATAGCGCTAACCGTGTGTGAAAATTTAATCCGCTGTTTCGTTTTGTTTTAAAAAATTGAAAGTAGAACTTTTATTGATTCAGACAAGATTTGAGACAAGATGAACCGATGAGAGCAGCCCTATTATTATTCACTGGCTATTTAGCAGTGTTGTCTAAACTCTGGACGATATTAATGGATACTGTAGATAGATAGATGGTTTTATTCAATACCTTGACTTGCAGTATACCTACTGAATTGACATGGTTCACAGTTGAGAAGAAGATAAAGCGAAAAGTTTTTTTAAACGTTTTACAACAAAACTCATTATAGTACAACTCGAAAAGCCTGTGCCAGTGTAGGTAGTGATAACAACACTAGAATACTGCAGATTGAGAGGGATTCAACAACCTAAAAAGTACAAGTAAAACTTCGACGTTTTCCTTGTAAGGGCCTTCGCTTGAAACGTCGACGTTTTACTTGTGTATTACAGAGATGTAACTTAACACTTGCCCGCTTGCCCGGGCCAAGTGAATATCATGACGGCAAGTAAACGTTTTATCTTGCTTGCCCGATTGGGCTAGTTGCCTTGCCACAAAAAGCTCGACATCTTTAAGTTTATGTTTTCATTGTCGGATAAATTTTTTATGCATGTATTTGATTCAAATTTTGTTTTTCTTTGTGGGCCAAAGCTAGATCTGAGGCAGTATAACATAGCCATATAGAGCTGCAGTGGGAGAACGGGTCGACAGGTTTTCCCCTTAATTTATACCCCCTACCTAGGTACCCCTGTGGCCATTGTCTGATGGCAAGTTAATTTTATTCAGGGCAACTGATTTTCATGACCAACTTGCCCTGAGGGCAAGTGGTCAAAAAAGTAAAGTTACACCACTGTATTAATACAATGTTTTCCAACAGAATGCTCGTGTTTCTGATGATGATGATGACAAACGTAATGACGTACTCAACAATGACGATCCTCACAGTCTACTGGACGTTGATCTTGAAAAGTACAGTATTAGTTTTTGTTTCTTTTACAGTAAAACCTATTCATAAAAGAACCACTATATACTTGGATGTCAAGGTGAAGCGGTTCTTGTATAATGGGTACTTAGTGAGGAATCAGGCCGAGTTGATTCTTAACTTTTTATTTCTAGTCAAAAACAATTGTTCCTGATTTAGTGATTTGAAGTATTACACTTTGGATTAATTGCTTTTTAAAAGCCTCCGAATTTGATATAAAATGTATCCTCGTTCAGTACTAAACAACAGACTATGTTTTTGCTTTTGCAATAGTGTTGAATTAAGTTTTACCTGTCTATTCCAGCCCTCAGAACATGCTGTCTACATCAGCTAAAGTACAAATTAAAGTACAAATTAAAGAACCAATTTCATTTGTCAGCCTGAAGTGGTTCTTGGAGATTGGATGCTTAATTGCCTAAATGGCTGGTTGTTCTCAATGTATATTGGTTCTTTTCTGTGGGTTTTCACTGTATTCATTTGGGCATCTCTTAGAGGTCCAGGACATTCACACGAGTGAAGTCCGCAGCGAAAATGGACCGCACGTTTTAATGGTGTAGGTAATAAGCGCCTGGCTCTGACGACTGCTCTATGAAGCAACGGTTTAGGCGGTTCTTTCAAATCATTTTGCACCTTAGCCATTCTGATTTCTTATTTAATTTTCTCTAGACCTCTGGAAGACAGCGAAAGATTGCCAGTTCGGACACATCGTATCACTTCACCTCAAACGGAGCAGAAAGAAAATGACGAAACTGAACTTGTAAGTTATTTATTTGTTGTCTTGCTCTTATCAGTGTCACAAATTCTGACATCTAGATCGCTGGCCCGTGATGAAACCCAACAATATATTATAGTATAGGAATGCCTGTTGATGCTTCACTGTTATCAAGAAAATTGCATACCTATCTTTCTATTTTTGTGGCAGTTGAAAATTTACTCGCAGATTCTCGGTTTTTGGACTTCTTATAGTCTCTTTTCAATTCATATAAAAGTAATTTTCCCTTCACGACCCTTAATACATCATATTTTATTATTTTTTTCTAAATGCAAGGTAATTTATACTTGTGGTTTGTGGTTTGTCATAAAATCAGAATCCCCTTAAACGATTTGACATAATTATATGGCCCACAAGTTCGATTCCTGCCCAAAGGCGAGGTGATTATCGGTGAATAAAAACTGAGACGAAGTCGAGGTTTTTATTCACGATAATCACCGAGCCTGAGGTGAATAATTGTTTTAGTATAATTTCATAGACTATTATTTGGAAAAAATATAAAAATACACATTTCTTTGTCATTTAATTGACAAAAAATCGAAAATCGCTTAGGTGATTATCGCGTAATAATCACCTCAACGGCAACCAATCAGCGTGGAGAATTTTCAATAATCACCTATGTAATTATACTAAATCTAAATATTGTATATATTTATAAATTTTCATTCCAACATTCCATCTACATAATTAGGTATACATTTTTTCTCGCATTTTCGTAAATCGAAAGTCGCGAAATACTCATTGTTTTAATCATGCAGGAAAAGAAAGAGAAGAAAAAGAAGAAGGAAAAACATCGAAAGAAATCACATAGAGATGACAAAGAGGTATGTTCATTGTAATTCAATACTTCAAGAGCATTCTACAATGGGCTATTCCAGTTAAAAAACGTAACCCCCCCCCCCTATCGAGGACAAAAGTTTTACTATACCCCTAAGAATTCCTGTCGTAAAAGAGATCCTCTGAAGAGTTACCCCCTGAAGAATCTCAATTACTTTACATTTTGCCTCTGAGGTAATCGCATTCTTCACTCACCCCCTGAAGAATTCCACAGGAGAATTTGTTTACCCCTGAGGAATTCCAGGGCTAAAACTCACCTTACCCCTGAAGAATTCCAAGCTCCTCGATAGGGGTGGGGGATCGATAAATGGAGCAGCCAATAACCTTGATTCTTGAACCATAACTTTGCCTTTGCTTGAAATGCAGAAGTATTCAAGTAGATCCGAACCAAACCACCGAAGCTGATATGAATAAGATGTGTTTTCGCTGAGCAAACAGATCCAAACCTGAACGTAATGCACCCATCAATTATAGGGAGATGTGCATGGTTATTACACTCGAAATCATTTATGGTTCAATCGTTAGAGTATATCGGGTCCAGGGGTTTTATTTATATGTGATTTGGATTATTTCACGAAAAATTGCAACCTTGCTAGGCAATAACTTCATCTTTATGGATAATTAATTGTCTGTTTAAGTGACCAGAGATGACATCGTATTAAGTTTATAGTAAAAACCCGTCCGTATTCTCAATATGCGTACTTCCTGTCCGTAAGGCGTTCGGTGGTGTGATTGACATTAAAGGTGTGATCTTTGTTTTAGCACCGCCATAGCAAGCATAAACACGGCAAAGATGGAAAGAAAAAGCGAAAACACCACACGTCAGGTATTTCATGTGCAATATACATACATGCACGTTCACGAAGACGGCAGTTAATATTATTGACATGCATTGATTATATTTAGAAGGACATCAGTATTGAAATTAGTTAAGTTGACGGGTTAGTACCATTGAACTATAAATAAACTGGAAGGCTAACTCAGGGGGGGAAATTGAAGCCAGTGCATTTTAGTTTTTCTGAGTTATGAGCAGAAATACTCAACACTGAACGTTGGGCTATATATCAAATTGAAGCTATTGAAAAACTCTATTTGGTGTAGAAATTTCAAGACTTTAGCTAAAAGGGAAATATTGAAAAACTACAAACATAATTACCGATAATTTGCCGTTTTGCAGTTGTTTTTGTATTTTTTAAATATTTTTCTTTTCGCTGAAGTCTTGAAATTTTCACACCAAATAGCAATTTCCAATAGCTTCAATTTGATATATAGCCCGACGTTTGGGGTCAAGTATTTCTGCTCATAACTCAGAAAAACTATTTTGGCTTCATCAAATCATAGGCCTTCATCATAGCAGTTAGCCTTCCAGTTTATTTATAGTTCAATGGTTAGTACTCTTAATACACTGACGTCACAAGCTGGGCACAGACTTTTTGAAATACTGAAATCTTATCAGCCATTTCGCTCGTTAAATTCAGAACTTACTAGCTAAATTCCAAGTCCAGCATGTAATGAAGATAATGAAGATAAAAAGATTAATGAAGAAAACAAGATTAAGTGTTAAGGATTCCAAAAATAAAAACCATTGCTTACGTTACAATGCAGCTCGTACTTCTTTGAGGGAGCGATCTCAAATTTTGGGAAAGAAGTTGATGGGCTCGTATAAGACTCTACACAAGTCAGTAGAGCCAACTTCAGTAATGTAATTACTACCTGCAAGTTTGACAAAATACAATAAAGCAAAAATCCAAAATAGGTATGAGGAAATATTGGGTAATAAATAATGATTTTTGATATTTCAGGCGAAAAGACGGAAGTTGTGCAAGATTCGCCAGCTGTGGTTCAGACACCTGAAGTTGAAGTTGTTGTGGAGGTGGAAGACGAGCAACCACAGAAATCACCTGATGTAAGTCAACGTTTTCATCATTCACTACGTAAAGTACTGTACACGTGTATAAAATCTCTCAAGTAGTTCCTGACCCAGACCTGGGAAAAAGTGGGATCTCGGGATCCTGAGGAAGATCTCATAGTAATATGGATTTCACACATATTATGGGAGAATCTTAAGGAGTCATTATATTATACTTATCATTTATAGACCCTCCGCTTGGGGGTTTCGACGAAATATTACCCTCAGTGATGATATGAAATTTCATCACTGAGGGTAATATTTCGCCGAATCCCCCTCGCGCTCCAGGTCTATAAATGATATATTATACCGAAGTGCCAAATGCGATGACGTAACGCGTGATTCGATTATACATTTAATACTCACATGGCACAAACTTAGCTTTCTGATTGGACACTTTGAATTTGAGGTGTAATATTTCCTTTTCTATCATTTGAGATTGTAAAATGTTGTTCAATGTTCAAATTTGTACGGTCAAATTTTCAAACGCACTTTTGGGAACATTTATCCCGACAAGTTAAACAATTTCTTTATCAATCAGACGGACGTGTTTGTCCTTTTGTAACAAGTGCACATGTTCAGTAATTCATGTTTAATTAAAGTTTATTTAGTCCTAACTGTCTTGAATGAAAGTGTCGCTATATTTCTACAGTCAGTAAAAACTGATTTACACAGAGCATACAAGAAGAGACAAGATATACAGTATCCACATTATTTCACATATTAGATGGTTTGTTGTAGATGGAATATTCGAACGCAAGTTTTAGATCTAACCAGGGGCAGTTGCGTAAAATGCAACTATAGCAGGAGTCCCTCTATAGCAGGAATCCCTCTATAGCAGGAGTCCCTCTATAGCAGGAATCCCTCTATAGCAGGAATCCCTCTATAGCAGGAGTCCCTCTATAGCAGGAATCCCTCTATAGCAGGAATCCCTCTATAGCAGGAATCCCTCTATAGCAGGAATCCCTCTATAGCAGGAGTCCCTCTATAGCAGGAGTCTTTCTATAGCAGGAGTCCCTCTATAGCAGGAGTCCCTCTATAGCAGGAATCCCTCTATAGCAGGAATCCCTCTATAGCAGGAATCCCTCTATAGCAGGAGTCCCTCTATAACAGGAGTCCCTCTATAGCAGGAATCCCTCTATAGCAGGAGTCCCTCTATAGCAGGAATCCCTCTATAGCAGGAGTCCCTCTATAGCAGGAATCCCTCTATAGCAGGAGTCCCTCTATAGCAGGAGTCCCTCTATAGCAGGAGTCCCTCTATAGCAGGAGTCCCTCTATAGCAGGAGTCCCTCTATAGCAGGAGTCCCTCTATAGCAGGAATCCCTCTATAGCAGGAGTCCCTCTATAGCAGGAATCGAACCTGCGGCCCTGCGATTCCGGTGCAGTTCTCTAATCAACTGAATTAAAGAGTCTATGGTTGCCGAGCTTTAGCCACACATGCATGCATGCATGTACTTATTTTTATTTATTTATTTATTTAATTCGCCTTGTACATATTACAGTGGCAGGGAATCCGCAACAGCGTTTGCCAATTACAGCGGCCCCGAAAAAAATGTACAATGGAAAAATGTACAATGGAGTGATGCCCGTTGAACGTATATGAATGAACTCCAATTTATGTACATTTTATGTGCATAAAATTGCGTTCGAACATTCCATCCACAAGAAACCCATCTACTGTTAGCTCTATCGAACGAGATTTCCCAAAATCTCGATATTTCACATATTTACCGTCTTTACCATGTCATTTTCGACGACCAAATAAAAACGAGGCTTATTAAAGTACATGCCTTCGTCTCTACGGCTGGGGTTCAATCACGATTGCTTGAGTATAATTTTTGCCTCGGTCACATGTGAGAGAATTACTCCCAGTTTCACTTTTGTCTATGAACAGCGTGGTTAACATAGAGCGATATATCAACACATGTCGTTGAAACATAAATATGTTTTCTTTAGGTTAATGATGTCGACTATTGGCTTTCCACTCCTGAACCAAAGCCAGCAACACAAACACCGTCAGAGTCTCTGGTATGTTCACATTTTTTGTGAAAGGCATACATATACTATCTTCTCAAAATCATTTCACCAAGCCTATTTGACATTTTATATTCGTATACCACTTACCACATAAAATTTTTCTATCTTTTCTATAGAAAAATGAGGTAAAACCAGATTTACCTGAACCACCGGTATCAGTAGCAGTGGAAACACCAAAATCCTCAAAAGTAAGTCCTCGTTCATTTAGAGTAAGTCCTCGTTCAGTCCTTATCATTTATAGACCCTCCGCTCGGGGGATTTGGCGAAATATTACCCGAATTTATCACGTCGGGTAATATTTCGCCGAATCCCCCGAGCCAAGACGGAAGGGTCTATAAATGATATATTATACCGAAAATTAAAAGCCTCCAAGTTGAGAATATAAAACTTGCCATGCACATACATTCGTGAACACGATGTTAAATTAACAGATGTTTTATTTTTTGATTAACGCATTTCAAGTATTTGTCACTTTTCTTTTGAATCACATATCGTTTGGAATATTCATGATAACTTTTTCAAAATTTGCATCAAAATTTTCAAAAAAACGAGCTTTTTGAAGTTTGAAAACTTAATAATTCATCACTCTTTAGTATGTTTTGTCGGCCATCTTGTTTGCGTGATCGCCGCGCGTGGTTTACGCGAATCATATCACCCGTGTGATATGATTGAAATCACCCGCTGCGTCAAGTACAAGGACGTAAGGCGTGATTCGATGATAAATTTCATGCTCACGTGGCACAAACCTAGATTTCTGATTGGACACTTTGAATTTTTAAATTGGTATATTTATCATTTATAGACCCGGAGCGAGGGGGATTCGGCGTAATATTTCCCGAAGTGATGATATTTTCCGAGGGGCTTTGCCCCGAGGAAAATATCATCACTGAGGGAAATATTATGCCGAATCCCCCGAGCGGAGGGTCTATAAATGATATATTATACCGAAAGTTAAAGAACTCAGTAAGTTCAGAATAAACTTTAAAACTTGCTGAATATTATAAACTACGCGGATACAATTTTTAATTTCTTATGTATACCTGAGTTTTTGACGTTTCCTCTTTAAAATATTTGAGCATGTATCCTTTGGATCATTAAAGGTAACATACGTCTTGAAAATGTTTTGTTAAATGAAATATTCTGTACGAAAATACGAAATTACAAACAACAGCTCGCGAACGCCATATTGTTTCAGAGCGTGGTGTCCACGCGTCACGCGTGAGCGTGGGATACTATAATATCCCACGGTGGATCTGCCGTGGGATATTATAGTATCC